TCCCAACTCGATCTCCCTCCCGCTCGCTCTCCTCCTCTCTTCTCTCTCCGAGGGCGCGAAGGATGCGCCTTACCTGTCCTTCCTCAGAGGCGGCGCCGTGGCGGGGACGGTCTCATCCCCCTGTTGCTCCTGGAGCGCTTTCCTCGGCTGTGAAGGCGCCCGTATCTTGATTTCCAAGCAACACAGATCTATTCAAACTCTGATCATAAATTTCTTTTTTTTTTAATTTCTTTTATTTATAATTAAAAAAGTACAAAAAATAATAATAAAAAAACCAAAAAATACAGAATACCTACTACTACAAAAAAACAAACTGTAAATTACGAAACTATAAATTACAAAACATAACAGTGAACCCATCACTCTTTGGCCTCTTCAAGGATGGGGGGAGTCCGAACCCCCGCCCGTCCGCCCTCCCCCCTCCCGCGGCCCCTCTGGGGGGGGGGCGCGTCCCGAGGCCGGCTGTGGGTCACCCCCTCACCCCACCGGCAGGGACGGCGTTGGCAACCTGTCCCCGGAGGCTCCCTAAGAGGAGCGAGGCGGCGGCGAGCGAGCGCGGCCGGGCAGCCTCCGGAGCGACACCGGCGCCCTCCCGGGAAGCGAGACCTCCGGAGGGATCGGGGGGGGAGGCGGCCTTCCTCCGGCGGTTGTTCTCCTGTGGGTGCTGCCGGGCGGCTCCCGGGGGTAAAGGGCCCCCGGAAGGAAGGGAAATCCCCCTCAGGGGACGCCGGCCAAGGCCCGGGGGGCCAGGGCGCTTCCCTGCCTCCTCGCCTTGCGCTGCCCCCCCCAAAAAACAATGCAAGGCCCAGCCCAGCCCCCCCCCCGGTGGCTCGGCAAGGAACCTCGGGCGCACCTGCTCTCCGGAAGGGAAATCGGGCCGGACTCAAGCCCCAACCCCGAAGCCCCCCCAGGCCAAGAGCTGCCCGACGACTTGAGAGACAGAGAGCGAGCGAGCGCAGACCCAAGCAAGGGCAAGGAACGGGCCTTTCGGCCAGGAACTTCCCGACCGTCTCCATCATCATCGTTCCGAAGAAGAGGCCTCTGGTCCCCTGAAACAGGAATCCCCGCTGGGGCTTTATATAGAGTAGGAGAAGAGCAAAAAAAAAAAAAAAAAGAAACAACGGGTGCGGGCGGCCTGACCCCCCCCCCACAAACTTTTCATGAACCTTTTGGGTTTCGGTAAGCCATACAAACCTTTCTCGGAGAAGAAAGGAGCCATCGATATTTAGATATTGTTCAGCTCAATACTTAGCAGCTCAGCGATCTTTCAAGATGGACAGATCGTTCTGCAATCTCGTCCCATTCATGAGCTAGCGAAATACTGGAGACGGGCAGACACACCGGCGGGCGGAGGAGGGGGGGACGTCACATATTGTTGCGTGCCCTCAGGTCACTTCAGTGGTGAGCCTAAGAGGGTGTTTGAGGCAGGTGAGATACTCGAGGAATAGCTTGTCCTCCAGGCCCTCCAGTGAGTTTCCAGAGCTCCTCATGGATCGGAAGCCAGGTCTCTGGAGCGCTCATCCTACACAAGCTCACATCTGGTGTGCACGTCTTACTATGCTATGTTGATCTGGATGGATGAAGGGCTGAGAGAGGAATCCCGAGCGACCTTGTGCTTCTTCAGTGCACTCCAAGACCCCCCCCCCCATCTGAAGTGTCCACAAATTCCAAAAAGTTTTCCCGAAGTCTCTCATCCGTGCGCCTCGGAGGTCTAAATATCCGCTTGCGCTCAGTTAGCAGGGCTTCGTTCACTGGGCGCTTGGATAATGTTGAGAACAGCACTTGACTGATTTGTGTGTATGTGTGGATCCTATTTCTAGGACTGAGAAACAGGTGTGAAATCGTTCTTCCTCCTCTCTCTCATATAGGGCAACCCCACATTAACTCTAAAACTTACACGCCCCCACCGTTCTCTGTTGTCAAAAGCATCAGAGTCTGTTGGCGCCTTAAAGATTCTTATTGGGTACAAACTTTTTTTTGGAGTTTTAGCCCATTTCTTCATAAGCATGTGTGGGATGAAGCGGGCTGCAGTCGGTAGGAACTTGGGCCAAACGAAGCTGATTCTTCCTCAATGTGCCAAAAGGTCTTTGGTTGCTTTTGCTGCAACAAGAGAATTTCGTGAAAATATTGCTGATTGGCTGTCCCCAGGGAGACCGTCTGAGGATCCCTTCGAGTATGGTACGATCCTGTTAAACATGCTTTGTTTTGCTTTCATTTGATTTGGGGACGAGGGAGAATGAGAATTCTTGTCAAGGAAAAGCAGGCAGACCAGACCGTTCTGGCCAGGGCATTTCAGGCGAGGGTTTCGAAGCTCCTGGGACAGAATCGTGAGGGGTTGCACGGGGGGGGGAGGGTAAATCTCTTTTTCTTTCCGCCACCCAGGAGAAAAAGGCCGAAGCCAGCTAGAGTTGATGCGAACGATGGTCCGACACGTCGGAAGAACACCAGGAGAGGGTCATCAGTTTGAAAAACAGCAACACGAAGAGAATCAATAGACATTTTGTTTGCGTTTGTGAACCAACCACAAACTACAAACACCAGGAATGGTGGCGGTGAGTGAGGGTCACTTTATTTCCTGCTCTTTCCTCACCAGGACACCTCCGTCTGAGCTTTTCGCTTCTGGCCGCTTTTAGTCCTGATGGCTTTTCCAGGCCTTCTTGCCCCCAATTCGCTCCTCTCCGTCCATTCCCCTCAATTTTCCTGCGGACAGAGGTGTCTGTTAATGGATCCATGGGCAAGTCTGGCCTCAGGGAGATCTTTGGGAGCCTTCGGGGCAATCCTATAGACGTTTAGTCTCCAATGAGCCCCCTTGAGTTCAGTGGGACCTGAGACCCCGCCCCTCTGTCCCTGTGTGTAGGACTGGAAGGAGAATTTATTTTAAAAAAAATCAATTAACCAAAGAGGTCTGGCTATTAAATTTCCTTGGTTGTGTAGAGCGATGGAAGGCGACGAGTTCCGACCCCTTCTTCAAGTCCTCCCTCCCAAACTCAACTCAAGAAGATTTCAAATCAAAGAGGAGGGGAAAGGGTGCCGCTTCCGGGAGTGAAAAGGTGTGGGAGAAAGTCCACCCCGAGGACTGCAGCCCCACTTCCCGGGGCAAAACGACGCCTACTCCAAAGGGTCTCTAACGTAATGGATCAGGCGCTTCCGCGTTGAATTCCTCCGGCAAGGCCTGGAGCAAGCCGCTTTCACCCCCATCCCACCTGTTTTGAGCGTAGCGTTATATGACAATTGGAGAGCAGAGATAAGATACTGGAGAAAGGGGTCTGGAATGAGAACAGGGGTGGAATTAAGAAGGAAAATATTTATTTTATTTTTTAAAAAAATGTACACGTTTATGCCGCGCCAACTGGCCGCCCGAGTCATTAACCGGGGTGTCATCCTCCGGTTAGGACTTTGGCGCAGAAGACGAGACCTCCACCCGCCAGAAGAACATCCCGAAGAGGGCTGAATGGGTCTGCCACTTTGGAAGTAATTAGGGTAACAGGCATCCCCACCTGGAGAATGCAGAGGCGGAACAGAGCAGTTCCACAAGACCATTAAGAAAAGAGCCTTAAAATGATCCAAGCTCCGTCACAACCTCACTTCTCAGTTGCACCAGGTTCTCAGTATTTAACCACTCACTAGTATTCGTTTGGGTGGAAAGCGAGACACAGATTTAGAAAACTATATTGCAATGTCTTTTTACACTTGACGGTGGCCTTGTTTGTAACTTCATCCTTTTCCAATAAAAATGTGACGTAAGTCAAGCCTTTGTTTCTAATACACAAATCACAATGAGGACTTGGATTTTTTTTTAATTGCAGACACACGCATGAACACATGTTCTGTCAAACATGCCACACAAGGCCTCTTATGGCTGGATCGTCTGTTGATAGGGAGAAGCCAGGCGCGAGAAAAAGGCGATCCGATCGGGTGGGGCAACTTTCCCTTTCCGGGAGGGATGTTTTTCCAGGAATGAGTCGGGCGGGCGAGGAAGCGGCAGGACTTGCCGTGGGGGGCGAAGAGGAGGAGGAGGAGGAGATGGTGGTGGAGGGTTGTTCCAGAGAGTGTGCCAGAAGAGGCCAGCTTGGGGGGAGGCGGGGAGGAAAGGTGGCCAGGGGAGGGAGGAGGGTGAAGGGGGGGCAGGTAGAAAGTCTCCTATGAGCCGTCCCGTGACGCTTAGCAACCAGCAAAGCAAGCCCAAAGCCGAGGAGGGAGGGAGAGAAGGCTTACCCTCGGGAGATGGTTCCTCCCCCCTCCCTCTTGCCATCCAACCTTTCTGCTCTCGCTCTCCCCCCGCCCGCCCCATCGCTGCGTTTGCTCCCCGCCGCCCATCGAGCCCGCCCTTAGACTGCAAGGCAAGATCCCCGATGGGACCGATTCATCCACTTTGAACCCCCGTTGAGCTGGGTTCAAGGCGCCTGCCCCCAGGGGTGGGGGGTGGGGTGCGGTGGGGGGGAGGAGAACGCCGG